AACCAGCTCTCCACTCTGCAGCCAGCCCACACCACCGTGCAATTGGGTTTGGGCGCTCATGCAAACTGGGAGCCAAAGAGCAGCGTGCTGTGCCCAGAAACCGTCTGTAACAGGGCGACTTACCCCACCCTAGCCCGAGGCTAAGCCAAGCTGCCCCACCTGGGAGAAATCAGCTATGGCTGCAGAGACTCCAGGGAGCACAAGACTCCTGCGGGGCCCTGAGTTAGCAAGGACAAAAGGTCAGAGCAGGGAAGGAAGCTGTAGGGAAGAGGGGGAGGAAGAAATGCTCTCCAGGCAGGAAGGTGTGGGAGGGACTAGGAGACTCCCTAGGGGGAACTTGAGAAGAGAAGTAGGAAGTGGCCCAGGGAAAACCACAGCACAGCTAAAGGAGCAGACCTGGCTTGTTAGGTGCAGGGTCCTGGGCTGGAACCCAGAGCAGAGGGGGGTTCCAGACTGGCCCACAGGCAGGGTGTCCAAGCCCCTTGCCCAGGTCATTGAGCCCAGGAAGGGCGCACCAGGCAGAGCTGAAACGTGGCTGAGGAAGCGCCCCAGAGCCGGGGACAGGATTTTTGTTTCAGGTTTGTGGACTTCTAGTGGGGGCCAATGGGGTCTGTGGAAGGGGTGGAGAAAAGACAGTGACCCAGCTAGGGGGTCAAGTTACTAGAGTGATCAGCAGGGGCTAGCCCAGGGAGAGGGCAGCAACGCCAGGACGGGGATCCTAGCAGTGAGTGACCTCTGTTACTGTCCTTTCTCACTCTTTCAGCTCTCCTGCGTGCTCAGTGTAGGTCTCCGTGCACCTGATGCTAACTGCCCGGCCTTGTCTGGGCAAATCAGACCCACCCCAGGGCAAGCCGTTCGCCTTCCTCATAAGGAAGTTTTTGAAGTCAGGCCAAACCTCTGTTATTGCTCTAATTTTCCGTGTCTTTCATCATCTCTGCATTAACGAGCTATGTGGTAGGAGTGGGTTTCTCACTCTGCTGGAGCAGGGCCTGACAGCTCAGAGGTGAGATGGCTATAAACAGCCTGCTGGGTTTACATCCTCTCCTCCCCCAGTCCTCTGTTCCACTCCTGCTCATTTATTTTCAGCATCTTCATAGAACGGGGGAACCACAGACAGAAGGCTTCATACTTCCCCCTCCTGCACCTCAGCCTCTTGCGTGATGACCAGCTGGAGAGAAGTGAATAATTCTTTCCACCGCGAGATGATTATTGTGTTTTACACAAATGACCCCACTGAGAGACACAGTCCCTGCTGTGAAGGGCAAACAGTCTAAATAGATAAGGAAACTGAGGCATAGACATGCCCAAGGTTACCCAGTAGGAACTAGAACCCGGGTCTCCTGATGCCCAGCCCACTATCCACTCAACCATGCTGTCGCTCTGTGTAGCTGGTGACTTCCTACCACTTATTTGATACTCATATTTATTCAGCCAATTTTTGGAGCCTTTTTTTTTTACCCTGTGGGTTGGCCCCACATAATTTTCTGTGAATGTTTGCTACATGAGCTGTATTGCTTAGCTTTTTCCAAATGACAAGTGGGTTCCCAACCTCAGACACCTTAGATGGGGCTTTGTTTCAGCAAGCGGTGAGCTCCCGCCTTTCGAAAATTCGGCTCCCTTTTGAAGTGACTCAAACTGGGCTCCCTCCCCCCCAAAAAACAAAACCAACGGAGGCACCCAGAGTCACCGATCAGTCTGGAAAATCTTGGGGACAATGACTAGACTGTGGCTACCTACCTTACATCCGTGCCATGACCCCGTTTAGAATATAGACAAGGAAGAGGCCGAAATAGCTTCCACTCCAAAATCAAGGTCTTTGGCTAGGCACAAACTTGCCCCAGTTTCCAAATTGCGGGTTGGATGATGCCTATCACAGACGGGGAGCCTGTCTCCGGATGACAGACTAGTTAGTCTACTTGGGGGCAGCTACCCAAAGGGGAGGGTGCTAAGGGAGTAAACGCAGTGCAGATAGAGAAAGGAGTATCTCTGACTCAAGGTTACCATGACTGTAAACGCTCAAGGTGTCCAAGGAAATAGAAGGAGGGAATGCTTTCATTGCCCAGATAATAGAGAGGGATTCGAAACTGGCATTACAGAAACCTGGCGGGAGGATTCACATGGACTCTATTTAGGAAAGACGGAGTGGGAAGAAAGACGGGGAGGAGTAGTCTACATTACTACCAACATCTGCTTTTATGTTTAGAAATGCAGGCTGTGGAATGCAGATGGACCACAGCTGTTGGCAAGAGAAAGGGTGGAAGTGTCTGTTACAGACCGTCTAATCAGACTAGCGAACAGGGCAAACAGCTCTTAATCATGGGCAGCGCATCGCATAGGCTGGGGAAGGCTGGGCCTCCCCAAACAGCCTGGCATGGCCCCATCCATGCTCCTCCCCGAACCCCTGCTTGCCCTTGACCCCAGCCCAGGCAGGCAGCTTCTCTTCAGGGAAGCATACTGGGGCTGGGGCGGCCAGGACTTGGGGTGGTTGGGGCTGCCCAGCCCTGGGGGACCCAGGTGGGGCTGTGCCTCCTGGCGTTCGGGGGGGGGACACGGGACTGGCAGCTGCAGGGAGGGGGGCTCTGGCGGGGGAAGAGGGGCGGGTCCTCAGGCGGGGGGCAGGGCTGGTGAGGGTTAGCCTCACCCAGCCAGTGGTTCACCTGCCGCCCATGCTCTTAATGTCTATCGGAAATGTGCAGGAAGAAAAACCATTATTATGCTGGAGGTTTCATGCTGCCACGAGTAAAAATGTCTTGGAGAATCAGAAAATTACCATCAATAATTTTTGACCACAAGAAGTATTACACCATAGCTGGGGCAAGTCTCTGAAACCTTGTTGTGACAAAGATAAAGTAATGACTGAACTAAGTATTAGTGATTGCCTGTCCTAGGTACAAGTGATCGTGACCTAATTACGCTGGCTATGTACAATCAGAATACAGTCCTAAAGCTGAAAATGATCAGGAGCAAACTTGAGAGGGAGGAAATATTTAAACAAAACAAGGCGAATAAGCATCTAGTAAAGTACTATCAAACAACCCACAAATCGGCAATTTCGAAAGACTGCCCGTTAAACCAGCCTGATTAAGAAAGAAAGTGAAAGTAGCAATTATATATATGCACAAATGGAAGTTTTTTAGTAATGGTTATAAATTAGCTGTCATGAAATGAAGACGAGCTAAAGGTATCTGTGAAAAATCTATGGCCAGTAGAGTTAAGGACAATAAGAAGGAATTTTTAAATACACCAGGAACAAAAGAGAACCTAGCAGTGGTATCAGTCTGCTAAATATAGATCATTAAGTTGTCAGTAGTGATGCAGAAAAGGTAAAGGGAATGACATGTAACTATAGGCTGATTAGCTTGATATTGATCCAGGCGGAAAATAAGGAATGGCTGAGATGGGTAGCAATCAGTAAGTAACGTAAGGATGGCAGTGTGATTACACCAATTAACATTATTTTTTATGGGAAATAGCTCTTGTCAAACAAACTATATATTGTTTTTTGATGAGGTTTATAAGTTTGGCTGATTAACATAATTGTGTTGGCATAATAGACACGGGGGGGTCCCATCCTCCATGTGAATTGCCTGGGTCAGACAGAGTGGGGCTGAGCTAAGGAGAGAGCAGGGGCCCAAGCTGAGCTGGGGAGCAGGGCCGTGCCAGCCAGAGGGGCCAGAGAAGCAGCCCAGGGAGCTGGAGGCAGAGCAGCAGCAGCAGCTGAGCTGAGACGGTGGTGGGGCTGGGACTGGAGCTGGGGCTGGAGCTGTCTGGAGCCGGGTGCGGTGAGCAGCTGGGGAGATCGAGGGGGACCCTGGGCAGTGGGCCAGCGCAGGGAGATGCCCCCAGCCAAGAGGCTCTGCAGGCCAGACTTGGGGGGGGATCGTAACCCCGACAGGGCGGGGGCGACACTGGGAAGAAGGGTCCTGCCACCTAGAGCCTGAGAGCGTGTGGCCACCGCCAGAGCAAGTGTCCGACCCACAGCATCCCTGCACCACAGCCAGGGCCTGGGCAGGGGCCTGGGCCGGGTGAGGGACAGGCTGTGAACTGCCCTGACGTTCCAGAGACGCTGGCCGTGCCACAGAGCGGGGTGACGGGTTTTCCTTTCACCTTTCTGATTTGTTCCTTATTTTTTTTAAATTGATTGCTGTTTAATAAATTGTATTTGCTTTGAACTGTATGTAATGATCAGTGGGTTAGGAAAGCATCCAGTGCAGAGAGAGCACCCCGAAGTGGGGACACCCTAGCCCCTGCCCTAAGTGACCACGACAAGGATGGGGGTCGAGCCCCCCAGGAATCCTGGGCCCAGCCTTGTCGGGGTTACGAGGACTCTGCCAGACAGGAGACTGGAAAGGGAGCCCTCAAGGGCAGGGAGGCCTCTGGGTGAAGGAAGTGGGAGTGAGGACTCAGATCCTTTCGCTAGCCCACTTCACCGGGGTAGTGCATAAACCAGGAAAGTTCCCCACAGCAGCGGGATCATTCCCCTGCTTCCACACTGACCAACTCTGAGAGCTTTTGCCAGAGGATGTTGTGAAGGCTGAGAATATAACAGGGTTCAAAAAAGAACTAGATAAATTCATGGAGGATAGGTCCATCAATGGCTATGAGCCAGGATGGGCAGGGATGGTGACCCTAGCCTCTGTTTGCCAGAAGCTGGGAATGGGCGACAGGGGATGGATCACTTGGTGATTCCCTGTTCTGTTCACTCCCTCTGGGGCACCTGGCATTGGCCACTGTCGGAAGACAGGATACTGGGTTAGATGGCCCTGTGGTCTGACCCAGTATGGCCGTTCTTATGTTCTTAAGGAGTGGCTCTTCTGTTTGAAGGTATGCTCAATGCAGAACCTGTGGTGATACATGCAGTGATTGCTTCATATCCTTCCCCCTCAGCGTCCCTCCTGCTGCTGTGTTGAAACTGACCTCAGACCGTTGCGAGGACTATTCTTGTATATCCTGAGGTGAGGCGGAGCTGCTGACACTCCTTCACCACAGTGACCGGTGACATGCAGCTGGTGTCACGGAACAAGCAGGAAACCCCACTGCTCCCCTATAAAAACAGGGGCTTGTCCCGGGGGTCAGGATCAGAGGTTAGAAAGAGTCCCTGCTCTGCTCCTATGGTTCATCCCTCACCCAACAGCAACATGAAGGTCTCCATGGCTGCCCTCGCCGTTCTCCTCATCGCTGCCTTCTGCTCGCAGGCCTCCTCTGCCCCACGTGAGTCCAGCTTCTCTCTGTCCTTGCAGGGTCTTCTTCTGAAAGGTGGCAACTTTGCAGCTCAGCCTTTAAAGGTGACCTGTCAGGATTTAATACAACAGGGCTTTATGGCCTCTTCTGCTTCTTTGGGATAGAGGGAAGCCATCTGGAAGGGCTGCTTTTAACTTTCTCCTTCTTGCTGGTTTTTACCTTAGAACTATTGGGATTATCGAGTCAGATCGTCCCAGGTTTCGCTGGAGGGCTTTGAGAGGGCGCCCGGAGAAGGTGCCTGTGAGCTCTCACCTTAAATGAAGGGATGGGGCGAATGGGTGTTGAATCTTTACCAAAGAGGTCCTTTGTCACTAGTGTTCATTAGGTGTTGGGGCTAAAGGGAGGTTAATGAAAATAAACCCAGACCTGTAAAGGCTCTGGCCAGGACCCCTTCCCCTCTCACTTGCTCACAATTCAGTGTGATGCTGTCACTTCCTCACAGAGATAATCAGAGCCCGTCGCTGCGCATCGAATGGAAACAAATCCGACGAGGGCTCCAGACTCGTTAAGGAGGCAAAGCCTCAGATCGTTAGCGCAGGGGGCGACTGTCACTGTCCAGGCCGTGCCTCCTGGAGGAATAACTGACACTCACGTCCCACTTTTCAATCTCTTTCAGACGGTTCTGACACGACCGTGTGCTGCTTCAGCTACACCACCCGGAAGCTGCCCCAGAGCCACCTGAAGGAGTATTTCTACACCAGTGGAAAGTGCTCTCAGCCCGCTGTAGTGTAAGTACTAGCTCCTGCACTAGGGGAGGTCTGGGCAGAGATCTCTGTCAGTCTTTAATCTCTCCACAATCCCCTCGGGCTGTGCTAGGTTAGGGACTTGTCTACATGGGACAATTCTACTAGTATAAGCGATGATGTGAATTTAAACCACTGTAATTATCCCGGTATAACTCCCTGTGTGGACGCTCTTACTCTGGTGTAAGAGGCTTTTTCAATGTAGGTTATGTTGCTTGGGAAGGGGTTTAAGATAAACTGGAAAAGGGCCACTCTGATGCTGGGGTAGGAGTATCCACATGGGGAGCGGTGGTTATACTAGGATAACTATATGGGTCTAACTGGTAAAGCCTTCCCGTGTAGACAAACCCTAGGAAAACTAGCTAATGTGATATGTTTTAAACACCATTTCGCACCTAGTGTAGACAAAGGCAACCGCGTTTAATGTCAGTGGTTTCTGGGGCCACTTACATTGCTTGGGAGTGGATTAAGGCTATGTCTACACTGCAGCCTAGGTCGGCAAAATGTACGTCGCGCAGGGGTGTGAATATTCCACTCCTCTAGTGACATACGTTACACCGACATAAGCGCTCGTGGGCACAGCGCTGTCGGCGGGAGCGCTTCTCCGGCCGACGTAGCTTCTTCCGCCCGCTCGGTACTACTGCAGTGCTGTCTGTGTCAACATGGACTTAAACTAAACTGGAATTAGTGTCCATGCAGCGGTTATACTGGGAAAACGACAGGGGACAACTAACTTTCTGTGTAAACAAGCCCTTCGCTAGGGTTGACCCAGACACTCTAAACACTCTAAACACAGCTGCGCAAGGTGCTAAATTTTGCACAGAAACATGGGACTCAGTTACTCCACACACTGCATTTCCCTAGTCTAGACAGAGCCCGTGGGGGAGAGCACGGTGTGTGACTCCCCTCTGCAGCATCCTGCAGCCAAATGCACCAAATGGCGGCTGTTGCTGCATCCGGGTGGGGACGCCTGTCCACTGAGAGGTGCAATAGGCAGAAAACTAGGCTGAACTGATACAAGCCACGGTTTCCAGTCTCATTCCCACACTGATTGGATCAGTGAGCTGGTCATTTAGGTGTTTCTCTGAGGTTCTCCAGGCCCTCCCGTGGTTTAATAGGCCCCGGTGCAGTCAGGTAGCGTGAGGCCTGGATTCGTAGGCTTGGGAGTCTGGGCTGAGGCTGTTCTCCCCTTTGAATGGTCCTAAACAGGGAGCCATGGCAGTGAACAAAGTGGTCGTCCCATGGCCCCAGACCCACCAGGCCTGGTTTATTACAACAGCAAATTCCATCCCCCCATCAGTGTTCTAAGCCCCCGGTCTCTCTTGTTTCACACAGGTTTGTCACCAGAAAGGACAAACAAGTTTGCGCCAACCCAGACACCAAATGGGTCAAGGAATACGTGAATTTCCTAGAAATGAAATGAGACGGCTGGGAGCGGATGGAGACCCTGCGCGCTTCCCTTTGCAGTGCTAGCGTCAGTGGCTATTGTGCTGTCCGGAACGCCACCCCTCAGCCTCGAGCAAAGGCCGTCGCTGCGCTTTAAGGGCTCGCTGGCACTTTAAAGACATTTGAAGCTATTTTATTTGTATTGTAAAAGAATCACTTCTGTTCTAGATTAGCCACCTTTATGGTACAAACCAGGCCCTGGACACTTGTGGTCATTAAAAATCCTATGGCCCTTAAAGGTAGCAGCCTATGAGGCAGTGTGGCCTAGTACCTAGAGCACTGGATTGGGACTCAGGAGACCTCGGCTCTATGGGCAAGTCACTTCCCTGGTTGGTACCTCAGTTTCCCCACCTGTAAAATAGGGTAAAGAGCTTTGAGATCTACTAATGGGACGTGCTATATAGAAGTTAGGTGTCATTCTTCATCTCCTGACTAAATTCCAGTTCAGTTAATTCAGTTCCACATCCCTAACTTCCTCCTGTGGTTTCAACTGGTTATGGGCCTTCCCCTTCCCTTCCCACTCCACGTTCTGTGCAGCTATGGAACAGTTGATGTGCGTTACCCAGAGGTGGCTGCATTCCGGTAACGGGTGAAGTAACTCCTGGCTTGTACCTGTGTGAAGCTATCTGCCAAGTTTGAGAAGCACTTTGGGACCCTTCGGGAGGACAGACAGTGAGCAGCAAGGAAGCTAATGCTGGAATATGATTGGTCTATTATTTATCAGGGGGTTGCTGTGGACCAGCAGACCTTGCCTTTATGTTTGACACACTGTCACTTGCTGATTTCAAGAAATAAAGATGTTTTTCTCTCTGTGACGCGCCTGGCTGCCTCTCCCTGAGCTCGGAGGTGTTCCGGGCGCCTCCCCTGCGCGGCATCGTGTCCGCAACTTGTGCCCAGTCCCATAGATGGATATAGATTTGTAAAGCCAGAAAGGACCAGTAATCTGGCCTGATCTCCTGCCTGCACAGGTACGCCTCATTGAGGCAGCCAGGTGGAGGCAGGCAGGCGGAGACCATATGTGGGAGGGGGGAGCCAGGCTGACTCGAACAGGCTGCCTTGCACGTGGGGGGGGGTGTCTGTGCACGCATCGGGGAAGCCCCCCAGAATGCCCAGCTCAAGGGGTTCAGCTGCCCCAGTCCCTCTCCCTCCCATACAGGGATGCGAAGGGGAAGCAGCTGCTGTTTAGCTCTCAGGCTGGCATAGAGGCCACCTAGTGGCTGCATGTCAGCCCTGCAAGGTGACGGCATGGGACCTCCACGCCCAGCCCCTAGGCTCCCCCATATGAAACCTAATTGCGTAAGGGGGAGGGGGCGTGAGTATTTCACCACTGTCAGGAAAGGGTTAGTAGCTGAACCCCTGCTTCAGCATTTAATCTAATCTCGAACTACCAGGGCAGGATGAGACCCGCTGCAGGGGCAGATTATCCAGCATATGCTGGGTTCTGAAACGCTCCCACGAAGCATCTGGCTCCAGCCACTGTCAAAGACGAGATGGGCTAGATGGACCTTGGCTCTGGTCCAGTCTGCCCATTCCCAGGTTCCTACGTGTTTCCCCAGTACTCAATGTCACTGTCCCTTTCTTACTCTCAGCAATTTAAATCCCTTCCCTCCTCGCCCTGTCTCCACCAACCCCCTAACTCCTCCTTCACTGCAGAAAGTCCTCCTTGCCCCACATCACCCGTGTCTCCTCACTCCGCCCACGTGCCCCATCCCTCCGTCCTCTGCCCCTGAGGTCTCCCAGGAATCTTATACCCAGAACCTCCTCCCCTCTAGGCTCAGACTCTGACCCCTACGTCGCAGAGACCCTCTCATGGCTCCTCATCCCCCCTCTTCTCTGTCTCCCTTTGGTGTTATGTGGGGCACAGTGTGTCCCTGCCCAGCAAAGGGGCTTGATGCTTTGCGGAAGGATAGGCTCTAAGAAGCCAACAAGGAAACTCTCTAGGGCCATTGACTCTCTGCACAGGGGAGGGGAGGGAACCCGGGGAGCACATGGCAAAAGGGACAGAGACTCTATTAAAGGAGCAGTGCGTCTCTGTGAGGGGCCGTCCATCGTCCATCCACATAAGCCAGGTGGGAGTCTGCGGGAGCTGGCGTAAGCGACTGGGGGCTCGGGAGGTCGGGGCACTGGGTTCGTGAACTGGAGAGGCTGGACTGCAGAGTTCCAGGTCCCTCCCAAGGAAGGGCTTGGACAACAAATGTGTTCCTGGGAGTGCGCCCTGGACACCCAGAGCTCGGCACAGTGACTAGACTCAGCCCAGGCCCAGGGGGTTCGGGAGCACTTGGGATCCAGCAGTTGGGTCCACTTACAACAGACGGGACCGTGCAGAGGCGGCCTGGGCCAGGCTGTAGCACTGTGTCCTCATTTCCTGGGTACCCAACTTGAGACAACTGGCGTCCGATCTGCAGAAATGCTGAGTGCTCACAGCAGGAAACAGGTCAGTGGGAGCTGAGGGCTGAGCAAAGCCAGTGCTATAGTATGCTAAGTTCTCTGCTGCTGGTGGCCTGTGATGTCCAGGTCCCTTCTGCCCGTCAGCTCTGACTCTAGATCAGGTCCCAGGCCTCTCAAATGGGGCACTCCAAATTAGTGCCCCTTGGACAACTTTGGCCTGAAGCCTGCCGTGTGATTGTTTCCACTGTGTAAAGTGCAGATACCAGCACGCCCCGGCCCGGTTTCACAGGAGGACTTGGAAGAGACGTTCAGTAGGGGTCACTCTAAAGTGATGAGCACATTAGAAAAGCCCCCGAGGAGATTAACAACTGTCTTCAGAGCAGAGTGTGAATCGCCTGGGGTAAATAAGGCCTCGGGCCACAAACTGAACAAGGAGGGTAAAACAGAATATTGAATAGCTCTCAGGAAGTGAGCACCATCTACTCTGGCAGGACTTAAATTCTCATAAAGTATTTCCTGGAAACCCCCCCCCCCCCCCCCCACACACAACATGCTTTAAAAACTCCAGAGGGGTTGAAAATATTGACTGACAGCCATGGGTGGCAGGTGGAGCCCCCCTTCGGGGAGGCTAGCCCTTGGCTCCACCTGCACGCCCCCCCCCCCCCCCCCCCCCCCCCCCCCCCCCCCCCCCCCCCCCCCGGAGCAGCCCAGGCTGGCCAAACCCCCGAGCCCCCCCCCACCTGCCAGGTGCCCAGAGCCCCGCCCCCCGGCCCAGAGTTGCCCCGGGCTCTCCCCTGACCCCAAGCCACCCAAGAAAAGCCGCAAAGTGACAGTGTCTCTTTCCGAAGATGAACCTGAGCTTTCGCTATGCCCCAGGCAGGTTCTGGGGCAGCTGAGGAAGTGGGTTTTGCAACTCAGCTTCCTGGGTTCCTCAGTAATCTCTCTGCAGTCCAGGGAGTTTACTGATGAACCCAGGGAGCTGAATAGCACATATCGCCTCCTCAGCCACCCCAGAACCTGCATGGGGCATAATAAAGCAAAAACTCCCCCCCCAAATTCCACAACTGGGGGTCCAGCCTGAGCCTCCCCAGGCCTATTATACCCACCGCCCATGCCGACAGCGTCAGCTGAATTTAAGTCCTGTACCCTGGGCACACGTGTGTGTGTGTGTGTGATCATGTCATTAAAGACTATCATAATGTAAGATACAGACAAGGGGGCTGAATTAAGGTTGCACATGCAGCTTCCCTACAGTCATTTCCTAACTTTTGCAAACGTAACGTTCTTCTAATAAGCCTTTTGATATGTAATTATAGATGAGACCCTCCCCCTCTTGTGCCATCCCACCTCCCAGTGGCTCCTCTTTCCCTCACACAAAGCCCGGGCGTCCCCAGCAGCCTCAGCTCTGCTCTGAACTTGTAGGCGATTGTAAATACAGAGCTGCACCAGCGTCAGTAAATTGCACAAGGCGTCCGACCAGCAGCAGGTCTCCAAGCGGTCTGTGGCTTGAACAGAGAGGGATGCGGCCCTGTCACACTTCCCCACAGTAATTCCTAGAGCAGATCTTCTAGAAAAATGGCCAACCCTGATTTAAAAATTGGCAGTGATGGGGAATCCACCACAGCTCTTGGGAAATTGTTCAGTGGTTAATTACTCTGACTGCTAAAAATGTTCACCTTATTGCCAAACTGCACTTCCATGAGCTCCTCTGTGCACATCACACATGGGGTTAAGAGGAAACTGATCATGGTCTATTAGAACCCAGGGCCGGTGCAACCACTAGGCAAACTAGGCGGCTACCTAGGGCGCCAAGTGGTTGGGGGGGCGGCACACAGGGGAACCGCTCCCCGCCCCAGCTCACCTCTGCTCCGCCTCCTCCCCTGAGCACGCCGCCCAGCTCTGCTTCTCTCCCTCCCAGGCTTGCGGCGCCAAACAGCTGATTGGCGCCGCAAGCCTGGGAGGCGGGAAAAGTGGAGCA